TTTTGCTGTATCTTTAGACTTCTCCTGTCAGAACCAGTTAACAGATGCAGCATTTAACAACTGGTGATGTTAAGTGAACTTTTGGCCCATTGCACCTGGCCATATATTTTGTATCACCTTGGATATATTTTCCATTCCATGTCAACTCAAACAAATCTGGGGGACAAACTGGATGCTCATTTGTTCATCTTGGATGCAATCGCAGGTTTTATTGTTTTGGGGGTTTTTAACATTTTTTGAGAAGCAGAATTGGCAGAATTAGATAGAGTTCAGTCCTGCAAGCTCCCGAGTTTGCTAGGATTTAGGAGGGTTCAGGCTAGATCATGGAGACCTGGGGAATGCAGTGTCACCTGTAAGACAGGGCTATCAGAATTATGAAGTAATTCCTATTAAAACAAGCTATCTGTCTGAAGAAAAAAAATCAAGTGAACCTTTCAGCACAAAAGTTCATCTACAGGTGTTTTTCAGCAATAATGTGTATTATTCAGTTAAATGCTAACTAGGTAAAAATTGGACCCATTCTTCAAGAGATTATTATGGGAGTTTAGAAGCTTTTTTGAAATCTGAATATGGCTTGTACTGCATCTGAAGATGTAAGAAACTTAGCACTTTATGCATCAACTATTGAAAAGAGACTTACTCCCCAGATAGCCCACATCTTCAGATGTCTTCCTCTGAAGGCCGCTGTCTCTTGTCACCCAAAACTTTTTGAAGTACATCTTTTTGTGTCCTACTTGTCATCTTTTGATATCAAGTGGCCACATGGCTTGACCTTCACAGTGTGCGTAATAACATTTTAAAATATATCTTACACTGATTTTTCAGGACCTGCTCCTCTTGCCTGGGCATTAAGGTATCTTTCCCCAATACACCAGGGCAGAACTCATCCTGCTAAAGCTGGGTGACTTGTGGTCAGTAGAGAAATGACCTGAGCACTGGTCTGTGCCTTCACACCTAGTGTCAGACTGCTAAATTTTAGTCGACTGAGTCCCATCTAGGGAGTAAATATCCTTTTATAAGCACTATAAATATGAAATCTTGATATGTCTTTAGGAATGCAGGATGTATGTGACTGTGTATAATAGAGCTACATTATATTATTTATATTTTGAGCTTAATAGAATCATAGGAGTTTGTGTTGGAACAGACATGTAAAGATCATCTAGTCCAAGCCCCCTGCAATGAGCAGGGCCATCTTCAACTCAGTCAGATTGCTCGGAGCGTTGTCCAACCTCACCTTGAACATTTTCAGGGATAGGGCATCTATCATGTCTGTGGGCAACCTGTTTCAGCATTTCACCACCCTTGTTGTAAAAAACTTCATTATATCTAAACTGACCCTCCTTTAGTTTAAAACTGTTACCCCCTGTTCTATTGCTATAGGCCCTGCTTAGAAGTTTCTCCCCATCTTTCTTAAAATCCCCATTAAGTACTGAAAGGCTGCAACAAGGTCTCTCTGGAGCTTTCTATTCTCCAGGCTGAACAACCCCAACCCTCTCAGCCTGTCTTCATAGGAGAGGTGCTCCAGGCCAGTGACCATTTTTGTGGCCCTCCTCTGGACTTGTTTCAAGAGGTCCATGTCTTTTTTGTAAGAAAGAGATACATACAGAAAGTTAGTCACATTTCCTAGAGGGATTATAAACTTTGACTTTGTCTAACACAAAAGCTGTGATGCTTTAACAATACTGATTATATTATTTAGAAGCTTTCCCTGTAGTTATTCTTGTAAAGTAAATTTCCACATAGAAATATTTATGATGGCATTCTAAAATTTTTGCTACAGATTATCTAAGTGTAACAGTTCATCGGGGGGGTGGGAGAGGCATCAGTAGCTGAAATAGTCTGCATGTAAAAAATTTTCAGTGTCTTCAGATTTTGAAGCCAAATTCTGCAATATGCTTTGCAAAATGGAGGAGCAGATAGGAATGACCTTGACTGTATTCTGCAATAAACAGTCATGTGCAAACAGATGAGATAAAACTGTCTTTGAACTGATGGCAAAAGAATAGATTAGTTTATAAAAGCTGAACTGTAATCAGAATTATTAAAAAAATATTATTCTATGATTGAGTTTATTTCACTGTACATTTTGTGTCCCTGTGAATTCTTTCTGAAGCTCTCCTTTGGCACAGCACCACCATGCTTTTTTTGCTACCAAAAAAAAAAAGTTCAGTAATTACAGTTAGTGACTGAGAAATGCTCGGTATTGTGTTTTTTAGTCAGTTGCTATTGCATTTGGGTTTTCGTCCACTAGATTTTAACTCTGTTCATTTTAACGCAATTATGAGTAAATTTCAAGTATATTGATGGTTAGACCCAGTTAGTTTCCTTCTATAACCTTCAACCAGAATTGGACAAGTGATAATTTTTTTCCAAATTGGTAGAAAGAGGATTTCAAAAGTTGTTTCTCTTAGATATGCTACCTGAGGTCCTTACCAACCTAAATTACCGTGTACCTCCTGAAGGGGGAGAAAAAAGCAGAGACCATCAGTGTTTCAGATTCTCAATTACCTAACAGTAGAAGGGCTGTGAAGTGTACATAATTTATTCACCAGAAAAGAATGTAAAGACAGACTGTATATGTAGAGTTCAAAATCATGCAATAATGAGATATATTTAGTATAGTGAGTTTGTGAAGGTAGGGAAATAGATGAAATACTTGTTCTAAAAGTTCACCATGACACAGATATGATAGAAAAAAGCAAACAACCTCTACATCTTCAGTAAACTCTGAACTTTCATTTTTCCAGTTGTTAAACATATATTTTTCTACAAGACAATTTCCAGAAAGTAATGGTTAGGAGTAATATAGAAGATGCCCCATTTAAAAATGCACGTAATCATTCTAGGAGTGCATGACACCTGAAAGAGAAGCTTTCGTGTTTTTTAGTTCAGCAATTTATGACTATTGTGCGTTTTGCACTGAGGAGTGTGAAATTCCTACATATATGTGTAAATGCATATGCATCCATCTCCATTTTTATGGAAAATTCCGTGCCGAATTTGTCTGGAACCACATAGAGGACTGGCAAAGCAGTTGTGTCTCCACGTTAAGCACTATTGCTTCACAAAATATACACACAGTGTGTGCAGGTAAACAAATTCATGTCTGTGGTGGGAGAAGCATCTGAGGCTTGGGGTGTCTGGCTGCTTTATAAATAATGAAGGAAGACATCTGTCCACTGGTAAATATGGCAAGAGAGAAATTGATATCACAAATCTGCCACCCTTTGTAAGCATAAAAATCACAGAATCACAGGATACGTCAAGTTGGAAGAGATCCACAATGATCGTTAAGTCCAGTTCCTGGCCCTGCACAGAACCATCCCAAGAGTCACACCATGTGCCTGAGAGTATCATCCAAACACTTCTTGAACTCTCTTAGGCTTGGTGCTGTGATCGCTTCCCTGGGGAGCCTCTTCCAGTGCCAAACTACCCTCTGGGAGAAGAACCTTTTTCTAATATCCAACCTAAACCTCCCCTGACACAACATCAGGCCATTCCCTCAGGTCCTGTCACTGGTCACCACAGAGAAGAGGTCAGTGCCTGCCCCTTCTCCTCCCCTCACAAGAAAATTGTAGACTGCAATGAGGTCTCCCGTCAGTCTTCTCTTCCCCGGGCTGAACAGACCAAGTGTCCTCAGCCACTCCTCATATGGCTTCACCTCAAGGCCCTTCACCATCTTCACTGTCGTTCTCTGGACACTCTCTAATAGCTTAATACCTTTCTTATATTATGGCACCCAAAACTGCACACAATATTCCAGGTGAGGCCACACCAGTGCAGAGCAAAGCGGGACAATCCCCTCCCTGGACCGGCTGGCAATGCTTTGCCTGATGCCCCCCCGGACACGGTTGGCCCTCCTGGCTGCCAGGGCACTGCTGACTCATATTCAACTTGCCATCAACCATAACCCCTAGGTCCCTTTCCATGGCAGTGCTTTCTAGTATCTCATTCCCTAGTCTGTACATGCATCTGGGATTGCCCCATCCCAGGTGCAGAATCCTGCACTTCCCCTTGTTGAACTTCATATGGTTGATGATTGCCCAGTCCTGTAATTTGTCGAGGTCTCTCTGCAGGGCCTCCCTGCCTTTGAGGGAGTCAACAGCTCCTCACAGTTTTGTGTCATCTGCAAACTTGCTTAGTATCCCTTCCATTCCTGCATCCAAGTCACTTATGAAGATGAAGAGACAGGAGAGCCTGAGGGACTACACTTGAAATTATTCTTTCTGTGTAAGGAAATACTTTCTCCTTCTTCTGAATTTTTTATCATTTTAATGAAGGTCTATCCAAGACTGAAGCTTCACTTGGTGTGGATTGACTTAATGTGGAGGAAGACAAAGTTCTTCCTCTGGGAAGCTGCTACAAAAGCCATGTCTTACCATGCATTTTCTCACCTGAGGAAGTTTGCTAGGAATGTGCAAATAACCACCTCCATGCTAAACTGTGAGTTAGGGAAAAACTTCTTAGAACAACCAAGGACATATTTACAAACTGCTTTTTCTGCTAAAATCAGAGTGAAAACTGAAAAGACTGAGAGAGATTTGTTACAGTTCAAAAAGGGAGGAACTGTTAGTAAATTATGTACCTATGTTTTGGTCTTCGTATGGACTTGTATTGTGTTTACCATTTCTTTTCTTCTGTATTTTCAGAAAGACACTCATTGTCAGAGGAAACAAGGGCAACTGCCATTGATAGGGCTGTCCGTTTACTCTGAAAGAGGAGACCATGCTGAAGCATCTTTTTAATATACCTTCCATTCTGAGCATCAGAAAAGATCATCCAACATGATCCTAGGTTTAAATAACAAAGATGAATTTGACGTGACTTTTTGCTTGATTCTGCTGCCCTGGAGTTACTGCAGAGCAGACCACTGGAAAGACACGGTGCAGGAAAATACTCTTGTGCTGAAATACAGTATTTCACACCTGCATAACCATGTAAGAAGGTCAGAAGACTTCTGAGATGACTTGACCTGTGATGGAACAACTCTTCTGGGAAACTGCTGGAGTACTTCAGCAACAGACATCCAGCATCTCTGCCCTCAATGATCTGTGTCAAAGTCCAAAATGAACCACACTTGGACATACAACTTGAGCTTTGGTGCACCTGCAGATCCTGTTGAGCCAAGGGCTGGACTCACAAGAAGTGGGCACACAGTAGTGGCTGTTTTTCTTGGATTCATCTTTTTTTTTGGTTTCTTGAATAACTTTATTGTCCTCATCCTCTTCTGCAAATTTAAAACCCTGCGTAACCCAGTCAACATGCTCCTCCTGAACATCAGTATCAGCGACATGTTAGTGTGCATCTCAGGCACTACCCTCAGTTTTGCATCTAACATCCGTGGCAAGTGGATTGGAGGGGAGCATGCTTGTAGGTGGTATGGCTTTGTCAATTCCTGCTTTGGTAAGCAATGATAATTCTTTACTCTCTTTTTCTTAACACTGTGCATGAAGCAACTTGATCAGTGAGCTCAATGCTGCTCTGTGCTGAACAGAAGGTTACTTTGATCGCTGTGTTATGGTCAAACACAACTGAAATCCAGCTTTTAAAACATTTTAACAAAAGACTTTATAAGAGAGTAGCAGAGATCTAATAAATATTTCTTACATATCCCATTCTTTGAAATTACTTATGTTTTAAGGGTTAAAAATGCAATATAGAAAGAGGCAAGCCACTGGAAAGAGTTTAACTGTATGAATGTATATAATATTTCCCTCTTTTTCAGGAATATCTCCGCCATTGCAGAACTACAGGTCTCTCAGTGTGTTTCTGCCATAAACAAAGCCACCTGAAAGTACTCTATTTGCCATTTGTAATTATCTATCAATCTATATCTATCTATAATATGAATTTCTCGTGGCTTGGATAATGAGTTTTCATTATTAGATGCTTTCCATTCTCCTGCAAAGCAAAACTTTTATTTTAAAATACATCCTTGCAGATTCAATAGCAAACTAAGTCTTAGGAATAGATTTGTCAGAAGTGACGGTAAAAGTATTCAGTGTTCTTATCTTGTCCAGACAAAACTCTTTTGCAGCCAGCTTTTTTACTGCTGGATATAAATGTTTTAACTGGAAACTATTTTAATTGTTAAAAAAGATAAAGGACAAAGTACAGACAGAGGGAAGCCTTCATCCTCCAAGGTGGCCTGTCGCTTTAAGATTTGCGTCACCAAGCGGTCATCCTTTCTTCGTTTATTCCTACATTCAAAAAAAGATCGACCAAAGCATAAACTGGCCTGTGGGTGCATGTCTAGATGTGATCCTTATCTCGCACAGACCGGGGGACTCGGTACATCTCCCTCTTACTGTACATCCTTGTTTTGGTGCCTCCAGGCCACTAGGACAGGACAAGCGCAAGCCTGGCTCTTCTCCCACCCTGGATTGTAGTGCGTCTCCTGCAGGCATTTTGGCCCACAGCTCTTGATGTAGAAGCAGGTGGTGGATCCAAATGCATGTTTTCTACCTGAATTATAAGCTCTTGCTGTTTCCAGTGGTGTGGTCTCTGGTACCTGTCGCTTCCTCAAATGTGTGCTGCACTGATGACCATTAACTCAGCCTGGCAGCTTCCCCTGGGAAACTGCTGCTTTGCCCAAAGTGAAGTCTTGGGAGTTAGCAATGTTGTGTAACATAAGAGCACTTACTTTGGCCATCCAAAAATAGACCCCATCAACAATACCTTGGCTTGTTTTGATGAGTAATTTTTGGTTTGGTCTGTGCAAAGCAGAACGACAGGTCTTCTTCCAGGTTTCATTTCCATTTTTGTGAGTTTTATGAGTTTGAGTATTTCTGTACTTGGTCTTCTCAGGAAGAAAGAAGTTAGGACTGCTTTTTCTCCCTTGTTTGATTTAGCTTCTTTTTTATTATTTAGCAGTGGGATGGGGAACAACAATTGAAGGGAGGGGGGGAAAAGGTGTTTCTTTAAGGGATTAGGAAAAAGGTATATTAATGGTGCCCTTTGAGCCTGTTGGCTGCCGTCAGGATACATGTGAGTTACCACCTGTCGTGGGTTGAGGTGGCTGGGTTTTTTGGTAGCAGGGGAAGGCTACATAGGGTGGCTTCGGTTAGAAGCTGCTAGAAGTTTCCCCCCCAATGAAGCCAATGATAGCTGGCTACAGGAGGGACTTCCTGCTCCTGGCCAAGGGAGAGCCAATAATTATGCCTCTGTGATAACATATTTAAGAACAAGTTTGTTGTGGAGAAGAATTTTCGAGCCAGGGGAGAGCTGACTGAAGCTCCTGGGCGGCCCCGCCGCCTCCCCTGCTGGGGGTGGAGGAGGGGGGCAGCAGCAGCCCAGCCTGGGCCTCTCGGCGCCTAGCCCGGAGCAGGCAGTGGCGCCCTGGCTGAGCCACCCATGCTGCTCTCGGCAGTGCTGGCCAAGCCGAGTGGTGGCTTCTGCAAAGGGGTGGCCGGGGCTGGGGCTGGGGTGTGCGGCCCCGTGGAGAGCGGCCTCGCAGCCCCTGGGCCTGCCCCGCGAGCAGCCTGTGCTGGAGCTCGTCCTGCCCGAGGAACCGAACAGCACTGACAGCGCCAAAGCCCCCAAGGTGAACTGCGAGGGGAGGGGGAGAGGGTGCCCTGTGGGCTAGGCCAGGGCAGCAGAGTGGCCCCTGCCAATGGGTGCTGCCCTCCCTTCCCCCCTGGCCAAGTCAAGCCAAACTGGCTGGAGCAGATGGATGCATGGAAGAAGGCTGTTACCCCCTGTGGAAGGCCCAGGATGGAGCGGAGTCCTTCAACAGGCTTGTGGCCTGTGGAGAGGAAAATCCATGCCGAAGCAGGTTATTCCTGGGTAGGACTCATGGCCCTGTGGGGGATCCATGTCGGTACAGCTCACCCTATGAAGGACCATTGGGGTGCAGAGATTCCCCCTGCACCCCATGGAGAAGTGACCCTCAGGACAGTAGATATGGAAGAACTACTGCCTGAGGGGTGGACCCATGTTGAAGAGGTCCATCAAGGACTGTTACCCGTGGGAGGGACCCCAGAGAGCAGTGGGAGGACTCAGAGCTGTGCCCCCCCCTATAACCCATGGTGAGGACCATGGTGAAGCAGGCTGTCCCCCTGCAGCCCATGGAAGAGTGACCTACAGGACAGCAGATTTGGAAGACCTGTTGCCCGAGGGGTGGACTTATCTCCCTGCACTGCTGTGGTGGGAGGAGGGAGAACATGGAAGGAAGGAGGGGTGGGTGGAAAGTGTGTTTGAGACTGTTTTATTTCTCACTCTTTAGATCTTATCCTGTTAGTAATAAATTTTAATATCAACCCCACGTTGAGTCTGTTTTGCCTGTGAGACGTCTCCCAGCTCAGAGCGACTTTAGTGGGTGCCTAGAATCTGGCCAAGGTCAACCCACGACACCACCCCAGTGACTGTGGAATTAAACCTGCAATTACAAAGTTTCTCCTAGGGTGACCTGCTTGTGGAATAATTCTTGAAAGTCAGATCTGTATAAATTGGATGGATGGCCAGAGTGCAGATTTCTGTGCTAACCTGTTTTCACGTGAGAGTTTCTGCTATAACTCTTAAAATGGATTAGATCATCAAGGAACACACAAGCGAACAAAACAACACCACCCAGAATGCCAAAGGTGACCTCAGCTCCTCTGAGTGATGTTGGCCCCGTCAGCAGGGTGTCCTGGGCAGCTGAGGCAGCCTAAGTGCAGGTAGTGCACAGTTCTCGTGACAGTCTTGCAGTGCTCACACTTTCTTTCATTAGTGGGTATAAAGGGCATACTGAAGAAGTTTGTTTGCAGAGTTACAGTTAAAAGATGTTCACTTACATTTTTACATACAGAAAAAACATGCATAAAGGAACTAGTAGTAGCAGGCTGCCTAACATTTATATGTCTATAAACAGATTATATGTTGATAAATACCATTATTCATCAGGTTTTATGACTTTTTGTACTCCAAAGTGTGCTAAAAGAGAGCTACTGGAGGTGTACAGCGTGTTGATGTCTTTTTCATATCTTCATAGCACTTGAAAACAAAATGTCTTTTTTTTTCCAATTTTTAATATTCAGTGTGTGCTGTAAACATTACAAACTGAGCAAGGATCCATTGAATGGAATGTTTAAATTTTTTTGTGGCTATTGGAAAGTAACATGAGAGAGTTGTGAGGGTCTTATTGAGACTTGCAGGTATTATTGCTAAAACAAAAACCAAATAGCATCTCAGTAATTGTAGGATTATTTTCCTTGTCTTCTGTGGACTTTGGAAAATTTGTAAAAATCTTACTGAAGTGATTCAAAAACTGAAGATGTGGAAAATCAAGTATATTCTGTATCATAAACATGGTTTAAGACTCATTGATTGGTTCATTGTAGTTACTGAGGATAACCATAGAGTTATAGAATGGTTTAGGTTGGAAGGGACTTAAAAAACCATCTAGTTCCAACCCCAATCCTAACTGTTAAAATATTTTTAAATACAGTTCATTATTAAAAGGCTTCTGAAAGGACTGTATTTTAATATGGGTTTTTTTTCCCTCTCACTTTGTTTTGTGATACTGTGGAAGCCTCCTTTTTGTTCTATACTGAATTGAGAGTGAAGGTGTTATCCTCCAGGTTTGTGGCATGGATGAAACCTGAGACAATGAAAGCAAGAAACTGAGATTTGTTTCAAACATAAATGCACAGTAGATTCACTTTTGGTTTTTTTTTAACCTCTAAAGTGTCTTACCTTTTTTAAAATCACATGACTGTTGCCCTGGAAGGTTGTCTGGAAAGCAGATCTGATTCTTCTCCCAACAGTTTTGACAGTGCAATGTACATTGATGTCACTTATTGTGAAATCAAGTTATTTACTGAGCAATCCATTGCCTAGCCCAGGCATTTAAAAATCATGACCCAAGAACCAGCACCAGGGGGTTGCTGTGGGCACAAGGGAAAAAAATTATGGACAAAGTGAAGGGTTTTTGGTTAAATTACTTGTTACCTTCCCCATGTCTGCTTTGTGATTTCAAACCATTCACAAAAAGCAGAAGGTTTTAAAGCTATCAGGAAGTGCAGATGCTGATCAATAAACATGTAGTCAGGATTTTATGGAGAAATTTAAATATTATGAGATCTGCTATGGAAGTACGAGTTGTTGGGTCTTGATCTGGGGGAGCATTAGGAATGGAGCTAGAGGAGAAACAGCATGATGTGTTTGCAGCATAAATGATTTTATTCTGGTGCTTGTGCATGTTTGCAGCTCAGTAGGTCACTGCAGTGGAAACTACACGTGTCACTGAGTTGGGGAAATGGATGGATTTTTAAAATTTGCTCCCATTACCCACCAGTTAGTCATGGTTTGACAAGCTCATGGTTATACATTTAAGCAAACATGAAAAGGGACACAGGGACAGGATCCATTTTCCCAGCTGAACTCTGAGCAAACTTTGCAAGTAAGGTGAAATAAGGACAGTT